CGTTCTTTTAAAGTTTCATAAATGTTTCTTGAAAGTACAGGTTTTTAATGTCTTGAAAAAAATAGATTAAATTAAGAGACTATCTTGACTGTTATTGATCGTACAAACTTTTGTCTTTAGTTAGGTAGGTCTTAAAGCCAGTAATCATAATCTGTAAGCTGCAAACTGACATCGCTCTTTATAATATACATGTAGAATAGTTTTCAAAAGAAAACTAATTAGTACAGTAAATCGACCAGTGTTTACCTACAGCTTGGGCTACTATGTTATCACACCACTAGAATGCCAACTTCATTATTCATTTATACTTAGTTATTTAGCCTTTTTATAGCTATTCAGTCACAATGCACAAAATCTACAGATCCATCTTCCTCCCTTTTCTGCCACTCCTATCGGAGATTGGAAATCATCAAGGTTATTCTGACCTTGTTTACGGCTGACCTAAAGAGTTCATTAGTGGTGCAGCCAAACCACTCTCTCAAATTCCGCAACCATGACATTCTTCTACGGCCTGGATTCCGTTTTCCTTCTATTTTTCCCTGCATTATATTTTGAAGTAATGCGTATTTATGTCCTCTCATCAGGTGACCAAAATATTCGAGTTTTCTTCGCTTTAGCGTTAACAAAATCTCTGGGTCTTTTCCTATTCTTCGTATTACTTCACAGTTTGTTATTCTTTCAACCAACTAATCTTCAGCATTCGACGGTAGCACCACATCTCGAAACTTTCAATATTTTTCATGTTGTTCTGTTTGAGAGTCCAGGCCTCTACACCGTATAATAGCGTGTTAAATACATAGCCTCTCAGCATTCTTAATCGTAGAGGGATGCTTATATTTCTGTTGCAGAAGAATTTCTCATCTTTATGAAGGTGGCCCTGGCAATTTCGATACGTCTTTTTATTTCACTGTTTTGGTCTCCAGTTTCGTTTATTAAAGTTCCCAAGTATTTGTAACTTGTTACTTTTTCAACTTGAGTGCCGTTTATACTAATATACGCTGGTTGTGTCATGTTTTTACTGAAGACCATATACTTGGTTTTTTTAATATTGATATTTATACCATAATTGTTGCAAGCAATATTTATGTCTGTAAGTAATCTTTGTAATTCTTCTACTGTTCTTGCAACTAGTACAGTGTCGTCCGCGTATCGAATATTATTTACAATCTCTCCATTAATTACGATTCCTCCGTTTGCTTGTAAAAGGGCTTCCTGACAGATGCTTTCACTATATACATTAAATAACAGAGGTGACAAAATGCAACCCTGTCGTACTCCTCTACGTATTTCTATTGCTTGTGATGTTTCAGTTTCTATTTTGATGTTAGCTTACTGATTCCAATATAGATTGAGAATTATTCGCAGATCTTTATTTGAAAGATCCATATTTGAAATAAAATTATACAGATCCATATTTGAAATAAAATTATAACTTCAATCACTATTTTACAACGTCTTGGGTTTAATGAAAATCTATCGATTTTCTATCGAGCCGAAATCTATCGAGTCGAGGCCTTCCTCTACTTCTTCTTCCTCCAGGAAAACACTTCTTTGACCAGTCCTGACGTACGTGACCATACCATCTTATCAGCTCTTTTTTTATTGTAGTCACCAAGTCTGGTTTTACAAACAGCAGCTGCAGATCGTAGTTTGTCCTTAACTTTCAGAGTTCACCATCTCTAACTGGTGCATAATGTTTTGAAGAGTTTTCTCTGCCACCTTTTGAGCGCTTCTTTATCCTTACTGGACTAAGTCTATATTTCGCTTACATAATTAGCTACTGGACGGATCACGCTTTGACACAAGATATTGTATGTTTTTGCATAAAAGATCTTGTGTATTCCTACTGGAGTTGCAGATGTGCAACAGACTGAAATAGCTTGTGTCAGCTATTGTTATCCTGATTTTAATTTCCCAAGTAATTGTCAACAAATATTTAAAACTTGTTACTTTCTGGTGACTACTTGATTACTGTGCTTCTCCTTGGATTTTTAAAATGGGCAAGAACTTTGTTTTTCTCTTAAAAGTTTTGGTATTGCATTTTAGAGTTATGAAGGATTCTTCCAAGTACAAGAATAATCTTAAAAGTTTTCTTATATTATCACTATAAGCTAGGTTTGGATATAATTCTGTTAAATAAAGTTCCCTCTATGTTAGCTGGTAACCCTCTCATGATTTCTTTAAGAACAAAGTTGACTCAGTAGATAGCACATGCTGATTCAATAATCATTTTGAGCAGTTGTACATATTTCTGCAGAACGGTAAATTACCTTAGCGTTCTATAAAGATATCCTCTATTTACACAATCGTATGCTTTTTTTTATAAAGAGCTGGTACATATCTACATTATACTCATAAAACGTTTCTAGTATCTGTCTCAGTCTGAATATTTCATTAGTGGTAGAGCGGTTAGTATGGAGACCACATTAATAGACCTCAGTTGGTGCCCTAATAGTGGAGTCAACCATTTACTGAGTACTTTTTGTTAAAACTTTATATGATTTACTCAGCAAAGAGACTACATAATAATGAAATATTTCAATAATAAACATAAGAAGTATCAATCGGGTCAATCAAATTCTTTAGTCTAATATTTAGCGGACATTAAAACAATAAACTGTACCCATACCATTTTAAGATAGTTCATAGTGTGCATATAGGAGATGAATATAATAAAAGAAAATGCAAAATTAGGATTTGTTTACTAGAACAACATCGGTTGACATAAGACAAATACATTTGAAAATCCATGGTTCTGCAATCTTATCTCATCCATTGTGTCGCATATCTTCTCAATGTTTATGAATTACATTTGTATATAATTTACAGTATATTATAACCTTTGTCAGGTATCTAAAGTATCAGCAATCAGAAAGCCACATAATAGATTTAGAACCACCTCAATATCTCCTACATACTCACAAAGTAAGCATATTTCCCAACGAATCACCCTAAATGTTCCTAGCGTTCATTGAAACTATAAATTTAAGTTAAAGGTTTATCTAATAAATAAGAAATCGCGATTAAAAAACAAGTAAGTTTGTTAATAGCCAATAAAAACGAGCAATTAGACATCTAGGTTTTAAATCAAAGGAAGTAGAGCTACAAGTAGAACTTGAACTCTTTCACTAAATTTGAGATCACTCACTCATCCCAGATACCTAAGGTATCAAAAGGATTGAGCTCTGGTGAGACTCTTTTCGTGTATCATATATTTTATTACTACCTTTATTATTCCTATTATTTTATTTAAATTGTTTATATACGTGGCAATAAAATAACTTTGGTATTATGACTTTTCTTTAACTTTATTTATATTATTTAGTGGTATTTTTTTGCTTCTTCTAACTGTCAAACATGGTCCATGAACATCGAGTTAGAATCTATGGAGAGGGCATCACGTGACTAAAAACGACCTCACTTCGGCCATATTGTTAATATTGTTTTGAAACTTTTGACAGATCGTATATGTTTGTTTACATTTGTTGTTTTTCGAATATTTTCAGTTTTATAATACTTTTATAGAAACTGTAATATATTGTGATAGTGCATAATAATGGTTTCTTGTTCTCAACGTAGTTGCAGTAGCAGAAGTAATGTTAATAAAAAATCTTCAGGAATATCGTTCCACAGGTTAGTATACAAATATGTAAACAAAGTAATGGCCCGTACTTCAGAGAGTAAATTAATAGTATTTGACTGTATTAATTTATCTTTATGTATAATATATCGTGTTTTTAGTGTTAACCGCGGGGTAAATAAATCATAGTTTATTAAATGTATTACACTTTTTTAGATTATGATTAAATCTTCTGAATAACTAGTCATATTTGTATAGTAGTTTTAATATTATTGAGTCTGGCCCTGATGTCACCGCCATATTGGTATTATCGTTAGCCACTCCTACCTACGCCGTTTTTAATACATACGTTCATATGCTCATAGCTTCTCCATAGATTCTAACTCGATGTCCATGAATAAAGCTTGTATTTGGCATATTTGACTTTTATTATTTCGAACTTTGACGTACATAATATAAATATTTTTTTAATATCCAATTATTTCGTAGTGCATTCATATATATATATATATATATATATATATATATATATATATATATATATATATTATATATATATATATATATATATATATCGAAAGAAAATGTAAAAAAGTATTTTTGAAGTGTGTATATTTTAGGCAATTCCTAGCTGAGCGCTTTCGGCTTTACAAAGCCATCATCAGAGCTATGGTCAATTTTTTAAATACCACTACAAAGGAGAGATCTCATTTCCTTATATTTCAGAATTATGATTTTTTTAGTTGTTGAAATTCTTAAAACATATAAAAAACATATAAAAAGCCGACACTGGACTTCACAAACACGTTAAAAAAATTGAAAAAATTTTTTTGTCATGGTACGGGTGTAAGAACCCGACCATTGATTGATGTGAGGAGGTAGACAGAATAGAACTTACACCCGTACCATGACAAAAAAATTTTTTCAATTTTTTTAACGTGTTTGTGAAGTCCAGTGTCGGCTTTTTATATGTTTTTTATATGTTTTAAGAATTTCAACAACTAAAAAAATCATAATTCTGAAATATAAGGAAATGAGATCTCTCCTTTGTAGTGGTATTTAAAAAATTGACCATAGCTCTGATGATGGCTTTGTAAAGCCGAAAGCGCTCAGCTAGGAATTGCCTAAAATATACACACTTCAAAAATACTTTTTTACATTTTCTTTCGACTTTTCATAAGTGTGTACAAAAAATATCAGTCTTTTGATTATATATATATATATATATAATATATATATATATATATATATATATATGCACTATTTACTGAAATCTATAATAAAACTGCATTTAAATGACTTTGCAGTAAGCTGCAAATTATTTGCTTTCCTATTAGGGCTTTCCCATTTTGAAGTGTGGCGCTGCAAATCGTGTTTGCGATTTATATACTAGAGAAGACCTAAGAAATATCCATCTTACCTTTAACGTAAAGCAGTGAGTGTTTCGAATAATCCGTTCCAATCGAATTTTCGGCGACGCATTCATACTTCCCGTGATCCTTTTCTTCACTCGAGAGAATCTGAAGTGCGCCTGGAAATAAGGATAGAGTATATTATAAATAAGATTAGTCGCTTTGCCGGTGTCGGATATATTTAAGGAAGCTGCAAATGATTGTTATTGTGGAAGAGGTTTTCAATCAGGTTATTTGCTGTATGTACACTACGAGGTTTAACTTTCTAAACATTTTTAAACGAAATTATATTCTTACTGGTTTACTTTTTTTTTTTAAATATTTTCATCTGTTTTACAAACTTATCGTTGTAAGTAAAATATATGGAAAAAGTAAATACGCTCTATAAACTAACCGTACTACCAAAACGTAACCAAGTGTTTAAAGTAGTTTTTTTCTAAAACAACTTGTTTGATTGAAGAGCTATTTTTTAACCAAACGTTTTCTTTTTCAGAAAAGTTTTTTTAATGTATTTAAAGACAAATCTTTTTTCTAATACTTAACTATTTGTGTTAATAATAACGTATTTTTCTTCAAAACTTTATATATTCTCGTGAGTTCAATAGTTAGGTATTACATCAAGTAAAATCGCGTCTAGCGTTATATTTCTATAAAATATTGTTTTTTAAAATTTATTCTCAATGTATTTGACTTTAAAAGTGAAATAGAAGAAGTAGAAGAACATACTCTTATTGAATTTAATTAGAATTATAATCTCCATATATTATCAGGTCATGAAGGAGTAAGAGTAATTATAATCTTTTCCCAAGAGTATTCCGGAGATTCCTTATATAATTTAAATCTTAGCCTCAAAATGAACACATGCCATAGTGAATACTTCCTTTTCCACAACTAAATCAACATAGGACAAGTCATTTCGTGTTGCTCTAAAATGTATACTAAGTGACATAGAAATTCGAACAGCAATTATAAATAATTATATTGTATATACAGGGTGATTGATTAGTGTGAGGAAGCTCATTAGATTTGTTATAGTAAAAATTACAAAAAAAAGTTATTGATAAAAATTGTAGGCAGCTTTAAACTCCACATTTTAAAATTAGTTACAATCTTACAGGGTGTTCCATAAGATGGTGGCAGACCAAACTTATGTTTTTTTTAATGGAACACCCTCTATTTTATTTTAAATTTTAAATCTGCTTCACTTCCACATCACAACAATGTAAAGTTTTATTATGTTATATCGGGTATTTAAAAAGTTATAACCTATATTACTTGAAAATCTATCAAGTTTAACTCCTTGTATAATTAAAAAGGAGTATAGGAACATTGATCAGGATAGGAACATTGATAGGAACAGAAATTATAAAACATATTCGTTTTTATAATATTTTTAAATCAAATACAGGGTAAGTCAAAATGCTAGTACATTATTTTCTTGGTAATTTTAAATAAAACACCCTGTATTTTATATCACTATCTAAAAGTACTAATATCGTACTTCAAATTTTATAAAGTACTTCCTATACCTTAAGTTATCAGTTTTCTAGATATTTGTATTTTTTCCATCAAAATATTAATTTGGTAGATATTTTAATGTTTACCAATAATTCTTGTGAGTTAGCCATGATTGATTTGTCAGAAACTGACAGATCATATGACTGACATATTATTTTTTATTAATTGAGTATTGGGATACACCGTAAATTAGCATTAGCAATAACAATTATTATTTAGTAATTCAGTAATTAATTCAATTTAAATTAGGAATAATGAATTTTACTACTAATGAAATGGTAGATATGATCTGGATATTGGAAGAATGCAACAAAAAATCATTACTATCAGCTAGGATTTATCAAGAACGATTTCCAGATAGGTGGCAACCTAGACAAGATAAATTTGAAAAATTGAAAGATCGATTTAACCGCAGTGGTTCAGTGAATTAGGAAAAACGTTTCGTCTAAAAAATCTTTGATTTGATCTATTTTAAAGTCTATAAAATCAGAGATATAGTTTCTTATCAAATAAACATAGTTAAAACAAAATGGAACTGTAGTCACGTCCAAAAAAGGTATAAATACGGTTTTTTCGAAAAAAAAATTTATTTTTATGTTATGAAAACTCATCCTACATGTTTATAAAAACTAGCCAAATTTTGTAAAAACCTTAACTACGCGTGTGAATCTTTTAAAATTTTTAAATTGGTTGCATTTCACCTAAAGAAAATAAAAACAAACAATTGACGTTTTTGGTGGTAGGAAATTGGAGGTTTAATCACATGGAACAAAAAAAATCGATTTGGAGTGAGGGCATTTTGTCTATCCTAACGGGTGGCATACTTTATGTCTCACTTATTTATTCTATTCCTAGAATTGACACCTCCCGTTCAGAATTTTAACACGTACAAATGTTGTGAAAAAATATTTGATTCATAACAAAAATGCAACCAATCCCAACAAAATTTACGAAAATTAGTATTGCAAACTGTTGTATATATTATACAAAAGAACAAACTATATTTAATTAGTCTATTAAATATAGTTTGTTAACCTCAACTCCTCTTGTATATATATATATATATATATATATATATATATATATATATAATATATATGTTAGTTTGAAGTGTTTCACGGATGGAGTAATATGTTGAACAATTATTCCGGGAAAATATCCGTTGGTCATTTTTTAATTGCAGACGTTTCGCCAAGGTCTCACTTGGCATCTTCTGTGCGTTGTCTTCGGTCTCGTAGTCGGTAACTGAATCAGTAACTAATCAGTTACCGACTACGAGACCGAAGACAACGCACAGAAGATGCCAAGTGAGACCTTGGCGAAACGTCTGCAATTAAAAAATGACCAACGGATATTTTCCCGGAATAATTGTTCAACATATATATATAATATATATATATATATATATAATATATAATATATAATATATATATATATATATATATATATATATATATATAATGAATACTGGATATTCGTGACTGTCAATTTAAACAAACAACAAAGTTTATTGGGGCTGCAGTCAGAAGTTTGGCCGGGATGTTACAGAAACACTCTTTTGACTTTTGGTCTAGCTTTCGGAATTGTTTAATTCCTTTATCAAGACACTGTAATTAGAAAAATGTGTAAATATTTACAATATATCACAAAATATCAGTGTACTTACTAGTCGTTGAGATTATTTGTACGAAGCTATGACACTCAACATTAATAACAAACATATACACTAAAACTTATACAATAATTAATACAACAATACATTTTAAAATTTAGTTAAAAATAATAAAAGTTCTAAAAAGTTTGTTTTCTACATCTTCTTGGTGTTGTGTTTTAACTAACCCATAGAGAATAAAAAAAAACAAAAATAAAAATAGTATGATTAAAAATTCATTAGGAGTTCTTCATATGTTATTAATAGAAGGTAATGTATTAAACCTGTGTTGATGGTATGCAACCTGTTTAGCATGCAGGTGTATTATGGTGTGTATATGTACCAGTAAGTCTTTGTGTCATTTTTGATGTTTAGTCAGTAAATAACAATAAATGTTACTCAATTTATCTATATCGGACTTCTTATTTATACAAGACGCACTGGACTTTATTAAACACATTTCCAGGAAAACACGTTTAGAATGGTTATTTTCCCTTGCCAGAATACAGGAATCCTCGAAATTAAATTCATGTTTTAAACTTAATGCATGTTCTGTCAACGCGCATGCGTTAATTTTTTTGGTTTTTATGTCGCTGCGATGTGAGATCACCCTACTGTGAAAATTACGAGATGTTTCACCAATGTACACGTTTTTGCAATTAGCACACGGTATAGAATAAACAACATTCGATGATTCCTGTATTGTGAAAGGATCCTTTGTCTTTGTGTACAACTTCGATACCGTTTTCACATTTTTAGTTGCAATTTTTAAGCCACTAACATTTTTGAAAATGTTCATTATCTTAGGGGTTAGGACTGGAATATAGACATTGACACACAACACATCAGAGCTACCACAATCTAAAATAACGTATGGTTGCCTACCCTATATTCCAGTCCTAACCCCTAAGATAATGAACATTTTCAAAAATGTTAGTGGCTTAAAAATTGCAACTAAAAATGTGAAAACGGTATCGAAGTTGTACACAAAGACAAAGGATCCTTTCACAATACAGGAATCATCGAATGTTGTTTATTCTATACCGTGTGCTAATTGCAAAAACGTGTACATTGGTGAAACATCTCGTAATTTTCACAGTAGGGTGATCTCACATCGCAGCGACATAAAAACCAAAAAAATTAACGCATGCGCGTTGACAGAACATGCATTAAGTTTAAAACATGAATTTAATTTCGAGGATTCCTGTATTCTGGCAAGGGAAAATAACCATTCTAAACGTGTTTTCCTGGAAATGTGTTTAATAAAGTCCAGTGCGTCTTGTATAAATAAGAAGTCCGATATAGATAAATTGAGTAACATTTATTGTTATTTACTGACTAAACATCAAAAATGACACAAAGACTTACTGGTACATATACACACCATAATACACCTGCATGCTAAACAGGTTGCATACCATCAACACAGGTTTAATACATTACCTTCTATTAATAACATATGAAGAACTCCTAATGAATTTTTAATCATACTATTTTTATTTTTGTTTTTTTTTATTCTCTATGGGTTAGTTAAAACACAACACCAAGAAGATGTAGAAAACAAACTTTTTAGAACTTTTATTATTTTTAACTAAATTTTAAAATGTATTGTTGTATTAATTATTGTATAAGTTTTAGTGTATATGTTTGTTATTAATGTTGAGTGTCATAGCTTCGTACAAATAATCTCAACGACTAGTAAGTACACTGATATTTTGTGATATATTGTAAATATTTACACATTTTTCTAATTACAGTGTCTTGATAAAGGAATTAAACAATTCCGAAAGCTAGACCAAAAGTCAAAAGAGTGTTTCTGTAACATCCCGGCCAAACTTCTGACTGCAGCCCCAATAAACTTTGTTGTATATATATATATATATATATATATATAATATATATATATATATATATATATATAAATTTAAAATATATTCAATGGTTGAATAG